CGAGGCAAGAGGAACCATGTTTAATAATCAAACCTTTGAGACTGAAAAAGAGGGATAGACTTACTGTTTAATAAATACCATAACCAAAAAACATGTCAGCTAAGCACTTCATAGTGTTGGGTTGGGATGGGTATTAAAGAAAACAGAAGTATCTATAACAGCTGTAAAAAAAAAAAAAAACTTAACTAGGAATATTATAATGCGACTTTCACTTCTAGGTCCCTATGTCGGAAAATCATTTAAAAAAAAAAAAAAAAATCTCTCATTGGTTACCAAACACACTTCTTTAATGTTGTTGTTACAAAAGTAATCTTTCAAACTATTTGAGGGTATTTCCCCTCTTGATGAGAAAAGAAGTTCCCTGTTCAACATTCTGTTCAACACAAATAAAACTGTATTTAATGTTAGTATCCGTTTTCAATTCCTATCTATTTTCTAGCGGAGGTTTTCTTTCCTTAAAAACAAACGTCAGTATTTTTAAACTAGTATTATATATGGAGCTTAAACACAACTTGGTTACATGATTTCCTGATGTGAAAAGTATTATTTCACACAAATGTGTCAAAAAAAAACAAGAAGACTGAACCAGGGCCAATCAAATAAAAACAAAGATCCTGTTTGAAAGTCAGGCTTGGGTATTTTATCCATTCATAGTACATGCTCTTGAATGAATAAGAGCCATAATGTACCAACTAATAGAAACAACATGAAAATGTGTGGTCATGTTGTGCTGCTCGTCGGTCTCATTTATGTTGTTAAAAGCCTTTTACCACTCTGACAGTGGCTTTTACTACAGCTCCCAATCACCTCAATCAATTGGTTTTGTCACGCATCTTCAAAGCCAACACTTCAAAGCCCTTATCTCTTTTCTCCTCCCACTCTTCGCATCCTTTTTTCCAGAGGCGGAGCAGGGACACAGGGCTGTAAGAAATCATACATGTATTTAGTATAATGAGAGAGGAACATCTGCTGCAGTATATGCCTGTAAGTTTTAAAGTCATGTAGCTTTTTCTTGAAGGCATTGTTATCCTGTTTACAGTTCTGTAGAGAAGAGGATTCATGCATTAAAAACTGAAATATATATTTCTCTAAAGTCAAAGTTGCACATAATATTCATTTTTCATTTCAAACCTTTATTTATCGTCAAGATTAAAAGCACAATAAAACAAGCAAAAACAACAACAAAGACATCAAATCGATTACAAACAGCACAGATCGTGTAAGTTGGACTTTCTTTGAGTCTACATGCATTTACAAAAGTATACAAGTTTGATTTGAGCTTCCTGTATGACTTCATCAAAGACACAAATAAGAACTGAAGATTTGAACAAGTTACTTTTTAGTCTTTGTTGAAGTTGTTTTATGAGTAAGTATTTTCCCTTTTTTCAGTTATAGATTTTTTTTTTGCTTGCATTTGATAGTAAGGACAAACGGTCCAACAAATGAGGAAAGTTTTAGAGTAATATCCCTCTTTATCCATTCATGCGTCCTCTACCAAGACACTGAACTCCATACTGCCTATAATGGTGGTCCGGCTGGTTCCCTTCATGGTAGTTTACTGCCATTCATGTGTGTATGCTGATCTGTGTGAATCCATAAACTACCACCAAAACTATAAACACTGTATACATTCAGTTCATTAACCTTGATAAAGTTAAAATGTTTGCATAACAGAAGATGCATAAAGGCAAATGTTAAACTGAATTCAGAAGGTAGACGTGCAACCAACAGGTACACACACACTTTAACACACACACACACACACACACACACACACACACACACACACACACTCACACACGTAAGAGTAATCAAGTATTTGGTGGAAAGTTGCATTGATGATTTAATAATACGTGTATGGCTTTTGTAAGACATGTTGATCATATTATTGTTGGACAAAGAGATTCATAGCTTAGACATACACACAGCTGTTTCCTCTTGCCCTCGCTATCGCTCTCTGTCTCAGTCTCTCTACCTTCAGGCTCCATAGTTCAACCCTAAAGGCAAAAACGCTAATCAATACAGGTCCTGCTTTTTAAACATTTCATCTAAATCTTTTCCTGTCCTGCCCTCTTTCCATGTGCCTTTCTGTTCTCTCAGCCCTGTGCTGTGCTCACTCTGCTGGATAGGAGTTCACTGAAGGTTAATAACTTTTTGGAAAAGTGTCCCGCTCTCTACCCTTGTTTGTGACTGCTCTGACATCAAACTACACTGTTATGTGACATGGAAAAAAGAGGTTAGGTGAAGGGTTTATGATACGAACACACACAGGTCAAAGAAGGGGGGAAACCTTTTCTTTCCCATTTAAAAAAAACAGTTACAGTGGTGCACATTTTGTATAATGCTGTTGTACTGATGTGTTGAAATATCCTATACATGTCTCTTATTAGGGTCAAAGGTCAGGGTCAACTAAAGAACAGAACCTGTAAAAATGTACACACTCAATACTTTACTAGTACACTTGCAGAGCTGATGCTTCCTCAGACTACAACTAAAATCAATATTCTTAAGATATCGTCTGCTTGAGAATTTATCCAATTGTTTCAGTTTTAAAGGCCTTCAATCTCAGTAACTGCAGATTTAATAATTACAGTAAGATTTATTTAAAGAGTGCTTATCAAAACCTAAAGTAGGATATGTTTCACAAAAGGAAGACCAATATAAATAAAAATGTAGCTTTGGGGGAAATATATAAAGTCATGAAATGCAATTAAAAATAACTGAAAATTCTTATCAGAAAAAGCTCTCAATTAAAAGGTGGATTTAAGAAGGATCCTGAAAGAGAATAAAAGACACAAAACATTCAAAGCACAATATTGAAACACTTTTTCAAGTGTTTATTTCATGATCAGTTTATAGCTGTCACCCTGTGCCAAATATAAATTCCCATGTCAGCCCTACGCCAACACAACCCATCCCTCCTCACACGTACCTAAACCAGAGGAAGCAGCTGTGTAGTGTGTATCAGTGCAGATAGTGAAGGCAGAGCAGACTACCACTTCCTGATGAAACGGCCACCCTCTCTGTGTCTTTGGCCAACAATAATAACCATTGGCGCAAACGATGCAAAAGGGACAGAGGAGCAGGCCAGAGGGGCGAATTACTGGGCATGTTATTGGGTTCATCTGGAGATCCACGTTTGACTGTAGCCTTGAATAAACACCTGAGAGTTTTCCACAGCATCACTGAGTTCAAAACATAATTAACACAGGAATCACAAAAGGTATTAAATAGCAGTCATTACGCACGCTTACTAGCTTGGCAGCATTATGTGTGGAATTACAGGAATGTTGTTTTGGAAGGAACCAATTTAGCTCCTAGGCCAGTTTAATTCAGGTCTAACTGTGTATTAAGAGACCACATGGCCAATATTATTCTGAGACAGAGCTGTGTAGGAACACTCTTTCACTCCTGGGATGCAAATGATGAAGGCACAGTTACATGTTGGCAAAGAGATCGCTACAATCAAGCCCAAACAAACTGACTTAAGCTGCCCAGGGAATTGGCTGTCATCACCTTCCTTTAGGCCTGAAAGATGAAAGATATGACATCAATTTTGTTGGAAAAACACTGCAGAAAATCACCCCTAGTTTTATTTGTGGGAAACAAACATTGTGAATCTTTTTTTTTAAAGCTCATAATAACATGTCTGGCTTACAGTAAATTGCAGGCACTTATCTATGTCTACGATGAACTGCTAACACAGATCCTACACTCAAAGTCAAATTAATTGAATCAGTTTATGAATGATAAATAGCATTCACAGCAGTGTTCAGAGTATTAGACAAGATGAAATATGATTTTAAATAATCGCATTTAAAAAAAATGAAATGAACATTTGTTTATGATTATAAGTCTGGTCCCATGTGATTGTTGGATGTTTTGATGGTGTTTTTAGACATGGCTGGCTCCAAAAATCATTAGTGCATCTTAATGTCAATGATAATGAGGTTTAGAAACTCTTTCACTCCGGACAATTATACAGTCATCATCTTTAATCTATCTGGCCTATGCAGGCCTTTAAACACGCAGTTTCAGTCTCTCTCTTACACACAAACTGTCCAATTAGCCAAACACCATCTTTACTCTCTGAATGACCACATGCATCTTTCTGTCTGTCTCTGCACAGCTAATGATAATGATGGTTGTGTGGTTTGCTGTGCGTGTGTGTGTATGTGTGTACTCCAGCTTGTCCCCCTGATGTTGTAAATGCATTTTTGTCTGCCTGCATGGTATGATATGTCTTAACGCATAGCTTAAGCAGACACTCAACCATTTCCCGACCCACAGTTAAATGACAGCTAGATCATTAAGCTCTAGCAGTGAGCGGTGCTCTAATTTAGCATGAAGCCAGTAGATCTTCCCCCTCTTACTGTATTTGACCTTCACGTTACTTGAATACATGTTTATAAGATGGGTATTTTTAAAACTCGTCAGAGACTGTCATGAGCTGGGATCTGCCAAGGCGTTGGTGCATTCAGGCAATGACAACAAGCGACTCCTTAAAGGTTGTGGAAATACTTCAGGGAGGCTGCTATGATGGTGTGTGAGCTGTGATCTACATTTATGCGATAAATGTTTCTTATAATTGCTCAAATCTAAATAATTGGTAAGGTTACAACTGTTTTTGTTGTTTAAATGTGTACATTCGGGTAATTTGAATATGGCATTCCACAAACAACATACTTATAATAGGATCTTACACTTAAAGGAAGCATAAGTCCCCAATTTTCCAAGCATGAATTTGGTCTAAAATCATGACCTATAGACCAGCACAGATTCAGTCACTTTAGCTTGACAAAATTCATAGAAGATGTAGACCTTTAGTTTTCATTCTGAATCATTTCTTAAGGATTTGATTAATCTAATTTTTGAGATTTTCAGGAATGCAGTGCATCAAAATAAGTATGGTGCAGAGATGAGATATTGGGAACCAAAAAACGATCCATATAAATGATTTATCACTTTTAATCCTTATTGTTGTCCCTGTTTCCTTCTAGAGGGAGTGTGTGAGATCTGGTTGACCAGCGAGGATACAGGAGCTTATGGCAGAGACATTGGGACGGATCTCCCCACACTGCTGTGGAGACTGGTGGAGGAGATTCCTGATGGGGCCATGCTGAGGCTGGGTATGACCAACCCACCATACATCCTGGAGCACCTAGAGGTATGCACAGTATAAGGTCATCCATCTCACCCACTATTTTTCATTTTTTGGCATTTAGTTTGTGTCCCTAATGTCTTGTGTGCCATTCTTTCCATTAAACAAATAGTATTCCTTTTCCTAGATTTAATAAACTAAATGCCTTTCTTTTTTGCTTACCGAGCAGTTTAGCCGCTGCGCTCATCCTCCATTCATTAGTGCAGTTCATTCTCTTCTCTCCCTAATGAGTCAATTAAGGACCATTGTGTCCTCTTTAGCAACCTCATTTTATCAGTCATTATTGTCTTCTCTAATGGAACAATGGACATTGTTATGCCGTCTTTCCCTCTCAGGATTCTACCCCTCTCTTTCCGCTTATGTTTTTGAATGTCTGTTTCTAACGGTCACACATGTTGTTTTTATTATTCAAATAAGCATATACACACTCCAAAGATAATTACAATTTCACCCCATTCCGAGTAAAAAAAAAAGTGTAACAGGATATATTAAACTCTGGTTTTATTGTTCTGAGTGGACTATTGGTTATAAAATCAATGAAATTGTGACAGCAGAGACTGACCAAAACCACCAAGATGTTTAATCCTCTGTATCCAAAGCACCCTTCTGCCCATCAGTTTTCCTGTCCTTTTCTTTCCCCTTAAGTCAACTTCTAGTCTGAAAGTGGAGGCTCACTGTGTTACTGTACATTGATGGTGGATAATGTAGATACCTTGTTACAAAATGTTGTCACCCAAACATTTCCAGGATCAAGCAAATCTTTAAAATTCTAACGTGTATAAGGGATTTAGGTACACCTCTTAAGCCTGGAGCACACTAAAAGATTTTCAAAATCATAAACGCGTTTGAAAATGTCAGCATTAAAAAGTTTAGTTCTTATAGTGTGGTGTTGATGAGATGACCAACTCAGCACACCGGGCTCTTAACAGATTCATTCACAACCAGAGACATCTCAGTAATCTCGCGCAAACACGACCGAAGAGTAAAAAAGATAAAGATAAATGTGGCTAGCTGTTAGCTACCTAGTACAACCTTTGATGTAGCAATTTCAGTCCAACTCCTTTCCTTGTCAGTTGGATTATGTTTTACAGAACATGTTTTATAAACACGTGTGTTGTTGCCATAAAACAAGGAGTTGGTCCTCCATTTCTGACGTCCACCTAACTTTATGCTTTGCGTTTGCTGTCGTTGTCATGGTTATGTTGTGCTTCCTGCTTCAGTAAGCTTGCTTCCTGATTGGCTATTGTTCCGTTCCATGTGACAATACACAGAGTCCGTTCTCGGATGTCTCCCCACACACAACGGGAAGTCACCAATGTGTTTTGCTGTGGTCTTGCAGTGAGCTACATGAAACTTTACTGCAGTGTGGTTTTTTTCTTGGGGCTCAGACAATCAGACAAGAAGTCATTCCTAAATTAAGGTTGAGCTTTTATCAGAATCCTTGCATTTAATTGTGTGAGAGGACATAAATGTAGCTCCTTTTTCCTGGTACCTTGAGGTAAACAATCTCAACTTTAAAATCATGGGATGGCTGAAAAGTCAAATAGTATCTGTTGTATCTGTTGGCTTTGTACAAGTAGCAAATGATGAGACTACATGTAAAGCCTTAAACTGAATAGGTTGAATATGGTTTTAGTAATAAAGTTGGGATAAGTTGTTGTACATTTTATTTAGTGGTTTTTATATGTCAGCATCACTGCTTGAACCTGAAACCACTGCATTTTTTTTCTTGCCTTTTAGAATTTCCAATATCTTCCCTGGAGAATATAGTAGAATGACTGTTGGAGAGCTGTGATAATGAAGAAAGGGAGAACAAAAAAGGGCAGAAATTGTAATTGTAACCTAGAAAACTAAAACGAATCAAAACTTTTTAGTAAAAAGGAAAAGAGGACACTGAAGTTCACAACAGATATACTTTTGAATCAAACAATCAAGGAGGACTGTAGATCATAAATGAATGAAATGAGGGCAGAAAAAAAAAAAACGGGGGATGAAGGCCCCGGGATAGAGATGAGGGGTAAAAAGGAGTGGGAAAGTGCTGTGGGAAGCAGCAATGGAGGTTGCAATTAACCAGGGGTTAATGGAGGTGGCTAATTGTCCCCCACATGTATAGGTAGGCTTTCTGCCTGGCTACATTACAATTAAAAAGCCACCCTCCTAATGATAGGGAATAACAATTAACTGATAATTAGAAATATACTAGGACGACACCCTGGCTTGGTCTGCGAGTGTGTGTATGTTAAGAACCATTTCATATGCTACCAGCCCTTTCATTGTTAACGTCCATGCATTGAATTGAATTATATCTTTAAGCTTTAATTCCTCAGTCAATTAACCTACATAAGGAGAGATAAGAGTGCTCTTCCTTAACTTATCATTGTCTTTTGTTGCTCCTGTCCCCCGTTTACCCTTTATCCACTTCCCTCATTTCTCCCCTCTCCCTCCAGCCCCTATTCACACACTGCCCCCTCCTTTCCTTCTCTCTTCTAGTCCTACTTATAAACTTTTAACATATCGTTAAGGACTCTGAGGCCAACATCTAACTGAGAAATTTCCAGGAAAAGAAAAATAAATTCTTGAAAGTTTCCTTGTAACCCCTCCTTGAGTTGAAGTTCTCTTGTTTCCAACTACTTGATTTTGTTCCCCCCCCCCCCCCCCCTTCATTTCCCTTCCAATTATTTCCAAAATAAATCGACTGTTTGAAATGTATTCGTCTTCCAGCATCTTTAAACTCTTATTGTTTTTTTCTTAATTAATGTCCCTCCCCTGTGTCTTTTGCCTCTTCTCTCCTGTCCCTCTCATGATGGTGGTAATCAAAGATAGAAGACACAAGATATGATTATGAAGGCCAAATCTCCATATGTATTTAAGAATGTCAGCACTTATATTAGAGCGTCACATTGAATGGCTGTGATTGAAGCTGAGAAGACCAGGTAACCGCTCCACTTCCCCCTAAAAGATTACCCTCTCTTAGACATACTTATCCAGATCTTTTCTTCTCCACCATCCACCTCTGACACACACTTTTGTCCTCGTGCAGCCTGTTTTTTCCTGACAGTTGGAGACAGCCTCATAGCACCATTTTCTGATTGGAGCATTTAACGGCCCAATCATCTCTCACAGGACCACTTGTCTCTGACATTTTAGTTGATTGCATCGAGACACATTGGACATTTTTACCTGAGATGTTGCAAGAAAAATGTCTTTCCCAGTGCTACTGTGTTGTTTTTTTTCTCACTTTGGTGGCATTTTGTATCGGCCTGTCCATCCTTCTGTCCATCGGCATATCTAGAAATTGCAACAGGCTTTCAAACGTGAAACAATAGGTCATCTTATCATATGAGGCGCGTGTTGTGTGCATGTGGATACCTGGGCATGAGGTCGTGCAAGACTGAGTGTGTGATTGAATCTAGCATGCGAGCAGACTGCGTAAATGAGGTGTGAAAGTAGCCTCCTCGTACGCAGCAGTCATTCAGCCTGAGATGAATGAAGCAGCAGTTGTCCATTAAACATCGTCCACAGAGCTCATCTCAGTTTGACTGGAGATTTATCAGATATGCTGTCCACATTTTCTCCATAGTAGGCTCTGTTAAACAGTCTGAAATAGGGTCTTACAAATACAGTCAGAGGCAAAAGAAAAGTGGATTTTAGTTTTGTTCCATGGTTGAAGAACTGGTTTTCATAGAGCTGTATACTAATCTACATTTTTTTTTTATAAAACTAGATAAAAAAATGTAGAAAAAAAAGCTCAAATGCATACTGGTCCATTGAATGTCAGGCCTTTACATTGATTTCTGCACTGTCTTTTAAATGCATCCATTAACAATATTGATAATGTTTCCGAAAATGTTCTTTTTCTGTCAAACTCATTTGCTGACCAGTTACAATCACAGCACTGTTTAGTGACATTGTGATTATGGATTACACAAAGTTAGTTAATGTGTTTCCATTTCTTCTCTCTTTCATTTTTGTACATAATCATTTACTTTCATGAAACTGTGAGCCTTTTGTTCCAGTTCGATGGAGCCGCACCGGGCCTCAGGGAGGTTGACAAACGACCAAATATCCGTAACAAAATGAAAACTCTACCTTCTGCATCGGCTGATATTTTTCACAAGCAGGACTCAACCATTCACTCACTTGAGTACACACTCGCACGGAAACGTACCCACACACAATCTCTCACCTTCACACTCAGTTGTGCACACAAGCACAGCTGTACGGGCGCACACTTAGACACACCCTCTCAGACCATTTTCATTTTAATGAAGCCTTTGGGAGCCTCTTCACATTAGAGGCCTAATGTAGCATTGTGAGACGGACCCCAGACCAAATGAATGCACATGGTAAAGCTATTCTGATGTGCTTCTGAATGATGAGCCCTGACTGTCTAGAAGTGAATTGTGCTTCCTGAATAACTGCGCTGAATTATGGAGATTAAAAGTCCTGCTGCCAAATTAAAACTGATCTTTGTTGTTCCTCTTCTTATGGCTTAAGAGTTTTTCAATGGCTAAAAAAAGGACAGCGACAGTGGTAGTGATTGAACTGAATTATCTGCATTTTCACAATGTAGTACAGAGCTGAAGAGATTTCTTGCATATTGATTTTGCCGTTGTTTAAATGTTTCACTATGAAGTTGCTGCTAACGAACTCTGACAAAGCCTTCATGGTGAGAAAACTTTATGTAAAGTGTTAGACTGCTATACTAAAGGCATTATCCCCGTCAGTTGATGCGAACAGCACAACACAGTGTGACATTTGAATACCATGCATGCACTAAATTTCCCTTTGACTGTACGCTACATAGATTGTATCTGCACTGTGTGAGGTGCTGCAGGCTCTGCATACCCTCGAGGGAGAAGTGCAGTCTGAAGTGTTTGAAATGTTTAATACCATTGGGAGCTCAGTTTCTCTGTCTGTTGCTGAACACAGTTTTCTCAGAGTGTATGTTTGTGTGTGTCAGTGCACACACAAGGGGACCTGACTTATTATCCAGGGAACAGCTT